CTTTCTCCTGAGGGAAACAAAGAGCGAACAAGCTGTCTTTCCTCTTGAAGTACGGCAGGAAAAAAAATCTGTGTTCCATTAAAGAAGGAACTGGATACTCTCTGCAGGAAAGCACTGAAGAGGCGGCGCTGGGTGACTTCAGCTTCGGCAGCACAACAATGCACAAACATGCGTAATATGACAATAAGAATGACAGGCAAAAGCTAGATTTTGTATGCAGAGTTTTAAAAGCCCTCCTCACATCCCACAATGCCAACATGGGTTTAATTGAACAGGAGGTCCTGGGGTTCACAGCTTCTTTCAGACGAGGCCTGCTCCTCCACATCCACTCTTTTGATAAAGCAGTGTGTGTATGTATGCAAGTGCGCTTGTCTCCCATGCATACACTCCTCCCCACACCTGTGCAGGTATCAGGCCGTGTGCCTCTCCAGCCTCTCCAGGGTACAACTCTTCCCGCCATTAGCTTCCCCTAGACCAAAAAGTCAAGAAAAACTGCGCTTGCTTGAGGCTTAGCTCTGGAGCAGTTTCACAGTTGTCCCACCATGCAGAAAACTCCTTGCCCACTCACTAAACTCAAGACAACTTTTAAGCCAGTGATTCACCACTACCTGGCAAATTCTTGAGCAGGAAAGAAGGGTAGGGAAATGAGTTTTTCCTGCCTGTTGTGTTCTGAGGGTAATATTTACCACAGAAATATTCCAATACATTCTTTTTCTAACTTCCATCCAGTTTAAGTATAGGCTCACCATCCATGAAAGGCTATTCTTATGAGCACCAAGCACAGTTTCTGCTGATGCTGTCAGCATTAAGGCTACCTAACTGCATTTACATAACCTTGTCATAACTGGAGACAAGTCAATCAGCATTAAAAGGACCAACTGGGCTTTCTGAAAAACAGAAACCAATCCAGAGTTATTTTACAATTTCTGCTTTTATTGACAGAACTGGGTATCAAGAGAGGCCCACTTTTTTCAGAGACATGTACTAGTTGATACCTTCTAATATCTCCCACCCACGTATTCCCCTGTGCTTTTCTAGCCACAGCAGCCGCCAGAATAGGCTACCGTAATGTGTTCTACATAAGGCTGCCTTTGAACACTATCTGAAAATGTCAGCTGCTGAAAAATGCAGGGACTATGATGAACACATGAGACCAGCAAATTATCAACTACACTGGCTTCCATTTGGTTTCCAAAAGGTCAAAGTCCCAAACGGCTTGGCTTTGAAGTCCCTGAAGGCAGAGGGTGTTCACCCGCATTGAGCAGCCCAGTTCCCAAGGCTGGCTGGCGGTGCTTTCCTGCAGGGACTCAGCTGACAACCTCCACAAAAGCTTTTTTCCCAGCAGCTGTCCTCAATCTGTGCAACTCTCCTGCCCTAGAGGTTCTACTGGCACAGTCTTTTCAGGTCTTACGGTATAACTTGAGAAAACATTGGCTTGGAATTACTTCCATTGTCACCCTGAAGTCCACAATGCTTTTCTGTATCAATGTTATTTTACTGACATGGTCTCCGTTGATGTCCTAGTATATACTTATTGGTTTATTGGATTTTGCTGCTGGTGTTGTTAGTTGCCCTGGATACCCTTTTAGTATCACAGGGCAGGATATACATTCTGTTAATTACCTAGTGAAGAATGCTACAAACATAAGGAATGGCGTGATGAACAGATGCACAATCCAAATGACCATGCAGTCATGTACCTTGCATGCATCCCTTACACTGGACTGTGAAGTGGGACCCTAAGGACTTTACCACTGACAACGTCTTCACAACCACTTCAAAACGTACAAAGGGGCAGCAACTGGTCAGTTCTAGTTCATCCAGATGTCTAGTGATTCTATGAGCCTCTGAGGAGGTGGCACCTTTTAAAGAACATTCTGGAAAAAACCAGGGAGGACAAACATAAAATCTTTAAATTATTAGAATTCCCTGACCGCGTATGTATCACGGTAAGAATCTGAGCAAGCCTGGCAAGACGATTTCAAGACCTAGCATGACTCCACTTTGTGTGCAATCTTTGGGATTACCTGCGCTTCCCACTCTGGAAATGCAAGTATCATGACCTGTACTGTCGGAGTGTAATGTCAGTTCTATAGCTGAAGACACAGAGGCTGGGGGGGGGGGTTCCCCCTCAAGGACCCTCCCCCTGTTTTTCTGATGGAAATTTTAAGGGATGCTGGGAGAAAAATCCCTCCTGTAAGCTATTTTCTCCTTTAGAATGAGTGAAATACTTGTTTTTCTTACTCAAGATGTATAGCATTAAAAACTGTCAGGACATTTTCAATGGAAACATTAGGAAATTTGCAGGGAGCACTGAGAAACTCCTATGAAATAGTTTTTTTCTTTTGGGAAGAATGAAATGGTTCTTAAGATGAGGTTTTATGCAAAATGTGCAGTATGAAATAATGTATATAGAACAATCTACAGCATTAAAGGTAAAGGTAAAGGTAAAGGTTCCCTTGCTTGAACGCCAGTCGAATCCGACTCTAGGGTTGCGGTGCTCATCTCCGTTTCAAAGCCGAAGAGCCAGCGCCGTCTGAAGACGTTTCCGTGGTCATGTGGCCGGCATGACTAAACATCTAGGCACACGGAATGCTGTTACCTTCCCACCGAAGTGGTACCTATATATCTACTTGCAATTTCTTGCTTTTGAACTGCTAGGTTGGCAGGAGCTGGAACTAGAGATGGGAGCTCACTCCGTCATGCGGCAACCCAGGTCTCGAACTGCTGAACTACCGACCTTCCACAGCCTGCAGTTCAGCGTCTTAACTACTTGAGCCACTGCAGCTCAATGATGATAATTCCTATGATAATTCCTATGTATCCTGTAGACATATATCCTTTTCCTGCATTATGGCATATCATGCTTTAGAGAGTTGTCTTGTTTGGCCTGGTTTCCCATTTCTGTAAACCCAGTGCTACTGCACAGCTGACATCTTTTAAATGTTCGAATGTGAATTATTTTGGCAGTAAATAATATGCTACAATGTGTTTAAGGATACTACATGAGTAAGAAGTTAAGTGTTTTCAATGTTATAACTTTTAACTTGATATCCAAATATGCTGGATACCTATTGTGACTGTATGAGGCTTTCTACCCAAACACCACTCTCTTGTTTTACCACAGAATTTGTTTACTGCATTCAATTTTTCCCCTATCTCTCGGACAGTAAAAGTTAATATACGTGCGCTAAAATAGCAAAGGGGAGAGAAGGTGGCATGATACAGCCCGAACTCATCAGATCTTGGAAGCCAAGCAGGGTCAGTTTTTGAATGGGAGACCACCAAGGAAAACTCTGTGGAGGAAGGCCATGGCCAACTGCCTCTGCTTTTTCTCACTTGCCTTGAAAGCCCCCTTGTGGGGGCTGCTGTAAGTCAGCTGAGCCTTGATGGAACTTCACACACACACACACAGTACCAGACGGAGCAGCAATTGGCAGCAGAGACATTTGTACTTTTAAATTACATAAATATTCCAAAATAGTAACATTTAATATGCTAAGTTATAAATGATGTATTAGGGTTTAATATGGAAACTATTGCACAGTTTCCCCACAAATTTCCATTTTCCCCATGATATCAATATTTCCAGAAACTTTATATCTCCAGCCGTAGCTCAGCTAAAAATGGCACTGCAAAAGGATGCTACAGAAAATGGCACCAAAATACGAACAGAAATGATGCCATAGAGCTGACGTCGTGGCATGACAGGTCACCACACTGTCGGAAGCACCCTGCCATGATGCCACCAGTCTCACAGCATAACTGCCGTGCTCAGGCATGAACACAGGTGTGCCAGAACGGAGGGGATGCCACTATCACCAGCAAGAGGAGACTCACGTGGCTTTCAAACGCTGTGCATTCCGAGGCCTGTGATCACATGCTTTCCAATGCTGGCCTTACAGTTAATTGTCTGCACACAGAACTGATACCTGTGCACACACCAATGCTGATTTCTCTTAAAAATCAGCAGCAGAGTTGCTAATATGTAAGGGTATGTATATGAATGACATACTGTGAGTTTGTTAATGTTTACACAATAAACATGTTAGCTATTTAAATCATAGCTTTGTAATCAAAATTTTCATCACTAAAAAAAACTTCCACACACATGAATGGCGGACAGTGCCAGCTGGCTCTCCTACACTACAGACAATAATACAGCAACTTTCTGGTATGCTTTTATCACCAAATTTAATTCAGCATTTATGTACACTCTCGCAATGACTGAGAACAAGAGCAAGCTCATTCTGAATTTCCTTCTGACATATATTCTATTCTGATCTCACTCTCATTCCCACTGAAATGAAAAGGGCTGCTGCTACGCCAGGAGGGCGCTGGCTGTACAGACAGCAACCCTTTAAGCCAACACCAACATTTCAACCAGTGGCCCATTCATTTCTCAGACAGCATTCTGTTACTAAGAACTGTGTGGCCCTTCTTTAGACAACCAAGAGCTGGTGCAGTAGTCTAGCAAAATAATACCATCCAAGGGATATGGGAACAAAGACAGATAACTGGTGCTGCGTTCTAAACAGAATGCTCTCCTTGGTCAAAGCACATTTGAAACCAACCTCATTTAATTATTAAAATCTTCATATCCCGCATCTCCTCACGGTTCAAGGCAGCTTATAATTCACAAAGAAAACATTACAAATTAAAGCTAACAAAATAAAAGCCCCCATTACACCCCCCGCTGCCACGCACACACTTCAATCTTGATTCACAAGAGGCAATGCTGAGAACCGCCCCCCATTTTTACATATAATATGGCGGAGTGAACAACTTCACTTCAAAACAGCCCAAGTCACATATTCTCATTTCTGCTGGTTGTCTGCGTGCAGCACTTTCAGGAGAAACGCCCTGCAATAGATGAAGGGCTGATTTTCCTTCATGTGAGGTTTATTTTGAACGGTGCGGTGGGGGAGGAGGAGAGAAGGAAACAGTTGTTCTACACCAGTGACAGTTCGGAATCAAGTCTCAGGCCTAGCAAAACATACCTGTCGCTGCTGGTACTGCTGCTGCTGCTGATGGAGTCACTGCTTGATGATCTACTCCGAGACCCGCTGCCACTCGGGGACCTGGTGGGTCTTGACGCTTGGCTGGCCAGCCTCTGGGGAGACTGGGTCCTGGACTGGGAGGAATGCGGCGACCGGCTCCTGCTATGCTGGTAATTCCGCTCTGGCCTTCTGCCTCGTACTTCCCGTGTGAGATCATCCCGGTAGATATCCCTATGCACCACACTGGGCAAGGTAAACTGCTCCCGGGCCCGAGGTTCATATCGGGGGTCATGAGCATCAAAGCGGCTCGGACTCCGACTCCGAGAACTGTAATAGAGTCCGTGTTGTAAAGTCCGCTCCCGAGGATCTCTATAGTAATCCTGATCATAATGTCTTGTTCGATCAAATCCTCCTGTCCCCCGTTCATGGTGTCCATAGGCACTATGTTCATAAGCACGCTCCCTGTTATCTGAAGCCCTGCATTTAGGAGGGGGAAAATATTTATATCAATCAGAGAGGGAGGAGGCAGTCCTAACATCATGCAAACAGTCTAACATGGCATCAGCCACCTTTACAAAGCTGGCTGCTAGATGGCAACAATTCATTAAGCAAAATGTGAGCTTGGCCCTTCAGATAGGTAGATATAACCCACTCGGAACAGACTCTGTTTCACTTACTTAATTGGGCTTTCATGAGCTGAGTATTGCACTACAGAACAAACCAAGTGAGGTCTGCAATCCTATATAATTCTGTTAATTTTTTTAAATTCAAAAGTTTTAAATGAGAGTCTAAGAGAACAAAGCTGTTCAGATATTTCATTGAAAGAGCTCGCTGAAGACAACCAATCAGCTTTGAGCATCAGCCATGAAAGCCCCCCTCCCCCAAAAGCAGGACCCAGCAGCAAAAGCAGAAGCAGCCCTGTTCTGCCAAAAGGACTGTATTCTCTACACAGAAGCCCAGAAAGGGGCAAGGTATTGGGTTTTTGAAAAAAGGAATATCTTGCTTGTTGCCATGCATTTTCCCCCTTTTGAAAAGTACAGAATATCAGAGGATCATTATCCCTGTGTATATCAATTCTACTAAATGCCAGTATCAGGGCGTTGGCATCTACTTAATGCCATAAATAATAAGACAGAGGCATTCTGCAAAACAGAGTTAAGCACCCAAAGCAAGAGAGATCAGTCCATCCATGTAAGGCCATTGGAAAGCTGCAAGTTGCTTGGGATGAAGGAAAAGCATATACAAAATATTCTAATAAAAAATAAAGCCAGCTACAGGAGTTCAAATGACTTCTTCGCTCCTCACATACAATCGCCTCTTTGGCTCTCAACCAGGCCACTTTGGGGGGAGTCAGAGTTAAAGCATGCCATTTGTGCAGCTCAAGGACCTTCCTGAGGCCTTTCGGAAAGAACAAAGGGCCAGGTTTAGTCATCTAGCTGGTGAAGATAATTGGATGGCCCATCTTCTATGGCATTGCTGGGGAAGATGTGAAACATGTGAAATACATGCTTGCAGATTTAGTTAAAAGCCTGTGCCCCCATGTCAGTTACAAAATTTAACATCCATTTTCAGAAGAAGGGTTTTAAATCCTCCTTGAACACCAATTATCAGCCACCGCAATTGTCTGTATCCAGGGCACACACGCCACAGTCCTTCCTCTCTGCTGGGTCTCAGGATAGATCTTCTATCAGCAATCATATGGAACAGTTTTGTTTTTATCTTAGAAAGCCAGCTTAGAATATTCCCTGCTTAGTATACAGCTCTCTCCTGCTAAGATCACAGAAAGCCAGTTTAGAATATTCCCTGCTTTGTATACAGCTCTCGCTCCTGCTAAGATCGTATCTTAGACCCAGGGCCAGAAAGGCATTTGGCCCATAAGGGCTCTCTGAACTCCTGGCTCCAAACAACTCACGAAAACCAAAACAAAATCCCAATTAAAATGTGTCATCACCTAAGCTTTCTAATTATTTGCAGCTGCTTGCAAATAAGGTAGCAAATTGTTACAAGGCCTGTGTTTGTGTGTATGTGTGTGTGTATACACACGTATGCATATATATATGCATATATATTCCCCCAAGTGTCATGTGTCTCCCTATTTTGAAAAAAACAAATCAATAAGCATTCTGCAGTCTACCAAACGTTGAAATAGTGATAGTTGTTAAAAGATGATATAGTAAAACAGAATAAGCAATCCTTCTAGAAGGTTACTGTGTAGTAAAAGATCTCCTTATCAGTTAAAAGGATGCAGAAGACAGACAAAAGAACTAGCAGCGCTGAAAATCTAATGGCTACAGCAGAGCTTATTTGATTATCTATTAGTGCTAATTACTACTGGAGTTAGTGGAAAGAGGGATTGACTTGGGTTAGGAAAGGGGCTAAGATACACAGGGCAGGACATACCAACCTTTTCCACGTGTGGAAACACGACCTATATTCCCAATTAAATCTAGGGAGAGAATTGTGAACATAACTTCCCCAAATTTTGGCCCCTCTTATAGGGGTAATCCACCTTCTTAATGGGCAAGGGTGTCAAGTGATATTTTAGATGAGCGAGCAAGAAAAATTCTTAGTGGAAAAAGGATAAAAAATTCCATTGGAAGCAAGTTGTTGGTCCCAGAGTGACTTGAAACCCCCAGACTTCCACCTTGAGACAGCAGGTGCTTCTAAGTACATCCAACAGGGAAGAGAGTCTCCAACCCTAAGTCTGAATCAAGCAGCTGCTCAAAAAGGTACCACCATGAGAAAAAAGGGATCACTGCTGGCCAACAGGCATCCACTGTCCATCTTTGTAACCATCCAGCCAAGTCAATTTTGTCTGATGTATCCACATAAGCTGATTATCAGCGCCATGTCTTTAAAGCTAAAGCACTTTTTAACTGCACAGTAGAAAATTCTTTAAAAAAAAACAAAAACAAGACTAGATAGTAATCCACTCCCCTGGGCCATCCCACAAGCTCGAGGTAGTAACCATTATTCCAGCACCTTAAGGACCTGTAATTTCCAAGGCTTTGCAATGTCCATCTCCACCTTTGCCAATACCATAAAGAACAGTAATCCCATGTGCGGTGTAGATCCCAAAGCGGAAACTTCAAAAGCTGCCTTCTGCTGTCTTCATTGTACCATATGTATTCCAATGATTAGAAGTTGTTTGTAGAATCCAAGATGATGTATCACTTTGCAATGTCTACTGGAACATTCTGGCAACAATCCGGTTTTACACATCAACTATATACCAATAAAACCCTTAGAATTAGGTAGGAAGCTCTGTAAGAAATCTGTAGGTCCTACTTTCTGGCGGTACTCCATACTGGGCCTCATGGCACGCTGTAACGAATAGCTCCATCCAAGAACGGCCTTAACATTATCCAAGAGGTGGGATCACTAAGATCTAGAAGGATAGCTCCACAATCAAGGCTGGCTACAGGAAGTCTTCCATCTTAGGACCAATGTCTCTTGACAGCAGATATCCAACCAGCTGCAGGAAACATCCTCTATGGATCCACAAGATACCAGTCACAGGGACAGGTACGAATTCCGTTTCCAACCCAAAACAGGAAACACAGATCATTCCCCCAATTTTAAATCCGTCTGGGGGCCCTAGACAAGAGTTTGTGTTTCTCACTACATCAAATATAAAATACCTGCCTAGTGAAACCTTGGAACTTACCCATCAAGTCTCCGCTCATAGCGTCCTTCCCGTGCATGAAGCGATGGTGGGGGGCCATATGTGGGCCCACCACCACCTCCTCTGAACCCAGAAACCTCTCTACTACGAGATGCTATGGAAACTGTATCATCCAATCCCCGAGCAGCACTAGGAATGGTTCCTGGTTCATTATAATCCGTCCGAAGATCTCTGTCTCCCATTTTGTTGACGGAGTTGTGTGCCTTCTGAGCACTCTTGATGTCCACAAAATCCACAAAGGCTGCCACGCCACCTTCTGACCCCCTTTTGGGGAGAATTTTGACACTTTCAACACGTCCATATCTAGGAGAGAGAGAAAAAAACAAATCACATGTACTAATGCTCATATAGACAAAAGCACCTCAGCTGATGTTTTATTGAGTTCATATTTCAAAAACTGGGACTGCAGTCCTAAACACACCTGCACAGCCATGCTTCAGTTCATGACTTTAGTCTGCTCGAAATAAAATTATTTCACATAAAGAGAATCTACAAGCATTTCAAGTAACATCAAGAGCTTTCCCCCCTGCCCCTTCCATTGCACCCTTATGTTTTTAAAAGTCTTAATCCAAATTATTCTTCAGTTTTAAGTTCTCCTAGATTCAACCAATATTTGCAAGATGTAATTAAGGAAACTGTGCATTTTGACATATCTATTTCATCCCTCCAATATATTTTCAGTCCATCTACTATTAAAATAATGAGATGACCTTTAAGAATGACCTATCAAATATGTTTACTTCCAAGTAGTTCTAGGCTGAGTTTCACCATGTGGTTTTGCAAGGCTGTCCAAGGACTTGCTTCTAGAATTCATGTGAAGCTCTCATCATAACTGAACACTGCTGGTTTCTACACAACGGATTTAAATTTGGGGCCAAAGCTTGTGGCCATGAGAGAGAACTCAGCAAAATCCCAGACCCTCAGGATTCTCCCAGGCCTACGTCTCAGCCGCATATATGCATCTCTACATTCCAATAAAGTTCCTGTCCACACAGGTTTAGCAAATGACAGTGATCATGACAAAAATGGACTCTAAGTGCTGAAATCCTTCCTCAGACATGACGCTTATTTGTTAGCACTTGATAAAGTACCATTTATTGGCCTCACCAATCCAAGGAGTAAGGACACGTACAAACAAAATCTAACATGGAATAACTGAGATGGAAAGAGAATCTAAGCAACCCAAATATCTCCACACTGCACCTAACAGAACCAATGCCAGATTTCTGCCATAGGGATTTGCCCTAAATTATTCAGACTCAGTACAGTAACAACTGGCACTGCACAATCTCTTCTGTGATGAACCAGAGGGACAACTGCTTTTCAAAGAGCAGAGAAGGAGGGCAGGAGTCCCTTTTTAGAAAAGGTATTCATGAGG